CATTGCACGATTGGTATTGATAATGAAAATTCCCGAGATCTTGACGTCACCGATATTAATGACTCGTTTACAATGACCAATGACAAACCGTTAGCCTAGTTGCACACTTGCCAGACCGGCTAGCTGGATCCGGCTATCCAGATCCGGCTGGCTCTTTCACACGTAATTTAATTTTCAAACCGGTTTGGCCGAAATTAGACTTAGTTGCATTTTTATCATGACAAGAGATGAATCGTAAACGCATTGCAATTATGTGGCTTGGCTATTGCCGATGTCGTCGCAAAAAAACAAAAAATATGAAAAATATCCAAAAAATATGAAAAGGCTAAAGTTTTGTCCCACTGGACAGGTCTGGATTCAAGCAGTGATATGATATAAAGAATGCTCTATCTACTTCTAGCGAACAAACATTCGACATAGTTGCGTACAAATATTTAAAAAAATAATTGACACGTCCTGTTATTTTCAATGAAACCGGACGACTGAACCCGGCAAGTGTGGAAGCCTCAATAAAGACTCTGTACACCTTGCTGCCGGGTAACCGGATCCGGTTGGCCGGTTCCGGCATGTGTGCAACGGGTGTTACGCCTACGCTCAAGACAATGCGATCGCTGATTGGTCGAATAGTATCTCGTGAAAATTATACAAATCACAGCCGGTGAAACGAAACGATGTGTTTTAATGTAACCTCGATTTTACTATTTTAATAATTTTTAATTTTACCGAAATGTAATGATCAACATGAAGGAAATATAAATTACTGTTCCAAACAAAATTACTAGCCACGTGGCTTGTAACCATTTATGAAGGCTCTGTGTTTATTTGTACATAATGGATACAAAATGTACAAAGGATATCGGATGCTCTGTGGGTGTGATGTTTCATATAAAAGAAATTGCAGCTTTCAAATACAGTGTGTTTCGCATAAGAACCGATACAGAGCAGAAGCATGTAGGCCTTGAAAGTGGGGTTTCAAATTTCGAAAAAAAAAAACAATATCTCAGCTATAATTCAAGAAAAACCAAATTTGGTACACGGTGTGTGTGTACCAAGAGCATTAATGGACAGAAAGTAGAGTTCAATTGAAGTATTTTAAAAGGTTGATAAGGGATGATGTTCCATTAAAATGTGACAGAATTTTTTAATCCGTTGGCGGACTTAAAAAATGTTTACCGTATTTTGTGAGGAATTTAATTCTAAAACTTTTCTTACTCTTGTTAGTTTTCAAAAAATTTTGTCGTTTTCAACAAAAACACGAATAATTAATAATACGTATTGTAGCTGTTATTTAAAATCATCGAAAATTCAAAAGTTGGCTAAACGTCAAACTTGACGATCAGGAAAAAAGTCAATTAATTTTAGTAATTGTTTGTTGAGTGTTTTGGAAATGGCCGAGAAGTTTTCATGTAGTGAACAAGTTGACATGATATTAGTATTAGGTTTCTGTGAAGGAAACTATAGAAATGTACAGAAGTGGAGAAGATTTCCAAATCGTGTAAACCCCCATAGAGAAACATTTTCCAATGTTGAAAGACGGCCTCGAGAAACAAGCAAATATTTCAGTAACATTCGAGAACGTGCTATTCAATCAGGACACAAGACGAAGAACTTATTTTGAATACAATTGCCCACAAGTTTAGCCTCCACGATCACCAGACCTCAACAAATGTGACTTCTCTCTTTGGGGAAACAGTCAACAGTTATTGGATAGAGTATACTTCAATTTTTTACGGAGAATAAATTTATGCCTGAGAGAAAACGATGGTTATTTTGAACAATTTCTATAATTTATCAGTGCAGTGCACATTGTATGTCATTTCCGTTGTTTAAGTTGTTTGTTTTTCTATTAATTATTATACTTATTCCAACTTTCTTTTCTGATCGTCAAGTTTGACGTTTAAATTCATAGCCAACTATTGAATTTTCGATGATTTTAAATGACACAACTATAATATGTACTCTTAGTTATTCGTATTTTTGTTGAAAACGACATTTTTTTGAAACTAACAAGCCTAAGAAATGTTTTAGAAATAAATTTCCCATAAAATAAAGTAATCATTTTTAAGTCCGCCAACGGGTTAAAAAATTCTGTCACATTTTAATGGTGCATCATCCCTTATCAACCCTTTAAAATGCTTTAATTAAACTTTACTTACTATCCATTAATGTTCTTCGTAAACTCACACCGTGTACCAAATTTAGTTTTTTTAAGTTCAAGTATAACTGAGATAATGATTTTTTTCGAAAGATACCCCAATTTCAAGACCTATAACTTCTCAAGGGTGCAGCTTAGTATAAGCGTTACATCACCATATTTTGGGTTCTGCTACATGCCCCTATTCTGTGTCGGTTCTTATGCGAGACACCCTGTATATTAAACAATTTAATGTGTTATATTTAAAAAGCGTAACTTAACATCTTATGCGCAATATTTGCATTTTCTAAAATTTAATTTTTGAAGCTCTCAATGACCTTTCAACTTTTATAAGAAATTTTTTCCTAGTCAAAATTACCAAAGTTGTTGAAGTGATTATTTTCAATAAGAAATCCTTCACAGGACGTTGTAAAACATCCTGTACAGTGCAATGCTCTGAATAAAACTTTCACAAACGTTCTACAGAATATTGCAACGGTTAACAGGTTTTAATAACTTTTTTGTTCTTCGGCAACACTAAAACCCATCAAACTTTGTTACGTATTATTCCACTATCCCTGCTAAGACTTAAAAAAGTTATTGCTCATGTTAGGGTATTATTTCGACTGGGGCCGTTGTTTATAAAGGCGCGGAAATTCGGATTGAAAGGCAGAGACACGGAAGCGAGAGAACGACCAGAGACGAGGTGTGTGGTGTTGAGATACCTAATTTGGCCATTGTTTTATTCTCAAATAAAGTTAATTTGTGAAAAACTGTACACTAAATATAAATTTGCGTTACATCTCCGTTATAAAGGTATTAATATAATTTAAGTAAATTAATATAAAATGTTCATTGTTTTTCTTTGATACCAGGAATATAGGTACACAAAAGATATCTAATTTCACAGAGAAGATTCCTAACCATTGATAGCAGAAAACAACTTTGAACATACTCTATGTGACAAATGTCGCAACTAGCATTAGATTACACCAGCAATATCTAGTTAGTAGCTTGTGATAATTAATCCAAAATAAAAATAAAACATATCTAAATATAATTATAAGAACATACCCGACTCAGTGAAATGTTAAAAAATACAATCTAATTTAAATAAAATAATAAGATCTTTCTATTTTTACTTGTATTTTGTACTCCAGTCGAATTAGAGTTGGAACGTGAAAAATTTATTAGTAGACATTTTATTACACTTTATAACGGACAAGGGTATGTAGAATGATAATATCAAAAAAGTAACTCGAAAGAAGTGATGCTAAGTTGGCAAATTGCAAATAAGTGGCAAATTTACCTGTTTTTTTACTTTTTTACTGACCACGAAAATCTAGACGACCTATCGGAAAATTAGTCATTTTATGCTGTAGGCAATTAAATTTAAGGTAGGTATCTAGTCATATTTCACGAATTTGTTAACTGTAAAATAGATATTGAACGCGGAAAAATCAGTTTTCAAAAATTGCGCATTATCATTGCAAAACGCGATGAATGCTGATGAAATTTATGGAAAAGACGGTCAATTCAAAGACCAACATGTGTACCAAAGACCGATTCGATTGACCGTGAAATTGTTTCTCCAGCTATGTGTTAATTAAATATGTTGTTTTTTTGCAAGTAATTGTTTAATTACTGAACGTCAACACGGCCAATCGAATCGGCGTTTGGCACACTTATTGGTCATCGGATTGACCAGATAAGTTTCATCAAAATCCATCGCTTTTTAAATAATAATGCGCAATTTTCGAAAAATGATATTTTCGCGTTCGACCTTTATTTTGCAGTTAACAAATAGGTGAAAAGTGACTTCAGGTACCTTAAATTATAGGTAATTTAATTGCCTACAACGTAATAGTATATTACGTAATAAGTGTTGTAAAAAGCATTTTACGCACGAATGGAAAAGTTACGCACGACGACCGCGTAGCGGCGAGTGCGTAATTCTGACTGCGTAATTGCATTACACCACGTATTACGTACTATACTTTACCTACGATCACTACTGTAAGTACTTAAAAACACCCCGTCTGCGATCAATGTAAGATTCCTATTTTACGTATGGTAAAAAAATCGCACAGCTTGGTAAAAAAATCGTACAGTTTCCCTAGCAACCGCCTAGCAACGGTCAATACAAACAGTATTGTATTGACCGTTGCTAGGAAAACTGCGCGATTTTTTTACCGTACGTAATAGGAATCTTACATTGATCGCAGACAGTGTTTTTAAGTATTTACAGTAGTGGTCGTAGGTAAAATACCTAATATTCCGATAGATCGTCTAGATTTTCGTGGGTAGTAAAAAAAGTGAAAAAACTCGTAAATTTGCAACTTATTTGCAATTTGCCAACTTAGCGTTACTTCTTTCGAGTTACTTTTTTGATATTATCATTCTACATACCTTTACTCGTCATAAAGTGCAATAAAATGTCTACTAATAATTATTCCAAGTTTTCAGGTTTTGTGATTTAATTCGACTGGTACTTACAAAAAAAGTGAATACTTTGGTTGCTAAGATACCATTTTTTATCTCAGTAAGGGAAATGTCAACCTTAGAGACTTCTGACAGTCAAAAAATGTCATAGTTTTGCGACGGTTGGAGAAAACATATTTTTATTTGTATTAGCTTAATACCTTTACAATAGATCACAAAACGCTACAGCTAAATATAAAATATAGGTATATAAAAAAATCAGAAATGTTTAAAACATAATTAAATTCGGTTTTGACATCATAGACTTCAATATTCGATATTATTTAAAGTAAAAGGAAAATAACCTTCTCATTTCCTCAATTGTAGGATCGGGTGGAACGGCATCATAAAAGGGTAATTGATAATCATCATAAATACCACCCACATTACATCTTCTCGATATTTCCCAGAATATAAGTCCTAGGGCATAAACATCTGCCCTTTTGAAAGAGTCAAACTGATCAATATTCATTGTTTCTTCTAGCACCTAAAAATCAACATAAAAATGAAAATTTATATGTATTTTCTTTACTAAATTTAAATAAATTTACCTCTGGGGCCATATACCTTTTAGTTCCAACACGATTATTTAATGGAATATCGACGGTATCAGTTATTATATCATGTCTAACTGCCAAACCTAAGTCACCAATGGCACATGTACCATTTGATTTCACAAGTATATTTTTTGATTTTAAATCTCTATGAGCTATAGCGGGTTTTCCTAAAAATAAAATTAAAAGATATTTTTAATTATTTTAATAGCTTAAATCACAACACTGTGCCATTTTTGTTATTTTAGACAGGAAGAGGGACATATAAGACATTATTTTAATTAATTATACAGAGCATTAATTATAAGTTTTGTCAAACTTTAATGGCGTATTCTACCGATGAAAATATGTAATCTACCTTTGTCCTACAAAAATTCTTGATGGGACGCATCCCTACGGATATACAGGGTGTATGTGTCAAATATTTATATGATTTTTCCTGTAACTTCACTGGCAAAAAATATTTAGTGATAAAATTTGGGGGATGACATTTTTATAGTAGGGACTATTTTTTCATGGATAACTTATTCCAAAATATACTCCAGTGGCGAAGTTATTAGGGGAGTAGAGGACCTTTTTTTTTGAAAAAAAAAATCGTACGCCACTGGTTTTTTAAATAAACTTAAATGTTTTTAAAATGTACAATCAATTTGTGGCAATAAAGTATTCTTGTAAAGTATTCGTAAAATTCCCCTCCTGGGAGCTGTATGACCTTGTCGTTGGTGGAGGGGCTTAAGTAGCTACAGTGAACCCAAGAGCTAAACCGGCGGGAGTTTCATACTCCTGGCAGGGTCACCCAAGCCGGAAAGGTCGAGGGAGAGTAGTGAAAACTAAGAAACAGCTCAGCTACCCAAGCCAAGGTGGAAATGCATTGTGCCGAGGGCTGAATGTTGCGGTGGTAGGTAAAAATGTCGCATCGTGAACGATCTCTTTGGGGAACCTGGCGCACCCCATCGTATTAAGCCTTCCGTCAGGTATGGGGCACTGCCTGGCGGTGACTTTTATTTCCTCCAGACTCGTGGGACCTTTATGGACCAAAAATCAAAAAAACGGGAACCCGAAAGGGGGCCGTCAACATCCGCCGGGGAAGCAGTAATTGCTGACCAGGCGGAAAATAAAACAGCCACTGGGAAGCAAACACCAGTGACTACTATCTCTAGGGGAGTCGACAGACTGAACCTGGAAGGTAGGAAGAAATTGTCTGGTGCGCAAAAGCGCAAACTTAAAAAACTGCGGAAGGCAGAGGCGGGAAAAGGACAGGGGCCGGTGACGGAACCTGGCTCAAGTACCACTCTAACTCCGCAGGCTGCTGAACCGGGGCCAAGTGGACTCGGGAAGAAACGTGGACGGTCGGACGGTAGTGAGCCGATTTCCGACCGGCCTGTTTCCAAGAGGCCTAAGGCCACGGGACAGCGTGGCAAGACTTACGGGGAGGCGCTGTCGGGGATCCAAGCAGTGGTGGTCCCCCATGGATACCCGGAGGTCCGAATGGATGAGGACCAGATGGGACTTGTCCAGTCGGCGCTTCTGGGGGCCATTGATGGGATCGCGGGCGAGGGTACACGACCGCGCTTCCTGGAGTGTCGTCGAAGGGGGGGAACGCTAGCGATCACCGCCTTCAACGAGGAGAGCCTGCAATGGCTGAAGACGACCACGGCGAGCTTGGTGCCTTGGGAGGGGGCTAGACTCAGCGCTGTTGAGCCTAGGGACCTACCTAAGTTCACTAAGTTCATCGTGTGGATTCCGGGTCATCCTGATGAACCGGAAACCATCATGCGCCGTCTGGAAAACCAGAACGGGGAATTGAGGACGGGGGCCTGGAGGCTAATCAACCGCAAGGTTGAGGAGAAGGGCCAGACCCTAGTCCTCTCAGTAGATGAGATGAGTGTGAAGGTACTTCAGAAGGAGGGCTTCAGACCATTTCTGAACTTCACCAGGGTCCTTTTTAGGAACCTGGAGAAGGGCAGGGTAGATTTGGGACCTTCTGATGAAGATCAGGAGGGACCAAAATCTGTATTATCTGGTCAAATTCCAGGTAATACAAGCGAACATTCAGCACAGTAGAGCGGCATCTGCTGCTCTCTGTGCCAGTGTGGCGCGCGTAAATGCGGATTTAGCTTTGATCCAGGAGCCTTGGGTACATGGATCCCGGATCAGAGGATTGCAGGTAAGTAATGGTGGCTTACTGTATTGTGGCCACCAAACTAGACCTAGAGCTTGTATTTATTACAAGAGTAGTATTAATATTTTTCCTCTTCCAGGGTTCTGCACGGATGACCTGGTGGCGGCCGAAGTGACTTATGTATCGGAGGGAACGCAGAGACAACTGGTAGTTTGCTCAGCGTACCTCCCTTACGATAAGAAAGAATCTCCTCCAACCAGGGAACTGAGGGACCTGGTGGCCTGGTGCGAGAAGGAGAAGAAACAACTCATCGTGGGATGTGATGCTAACTCACACCATACGGTGTGGGGAAGCAGCGATGTCAACGATCGAGGTGAGTCTTTACTAGATTTTCTTTTTAGTTATAATCTAGAGATTTTGAATGTCGGGAACGAGCCCACCTTTGTTATAAAAAATAGAAGTGAAGTCATCGATATAACAGTGGGATCGGGACCGATATGTAATAATATTGCGAGGTGGCATGTGTCGAATGAGCCGTCAATGTCGGATCATAGACATATCCACTTTGAAATTATAACGGATTATAATCCGCAAGTAAGAACCTACAGAGACCCAAAAAGAACTGACTGGGACTCCTATAGAACGGAGTTACAGGCCAGGACTAGGGAAATCTGTACAAAACTAAGGAACACATATGATCTTGAGAGGGCCGTGGAGGAACTCCAAAACGCCGTCACAAGATCATATGAATACAGCTGTCCTATCAAAGTGAGGTCCGATAAGCACACCGTACCCTGGTGGAGCAAGGAACTCACGCAGTTGAGGGGACAGACAAGAAAACTATTTAATAGAGCAAAGCGGACAGGAGAGTGGGAGGCTTATAGAGCAACCCTCACTGAGTATAATAAAGAAATTAGAAAAGCGAAGAGAGACTCATGGAGGAAGTTCTGTGAGGATATTGATAGTGTCCCACAGTGTGCTAAACTCCAGAGACTTCTCTCTAAGAACGGACATACGAAACTCGGGTCTCTCAAAGCACCGAGTGGGGAATATACCAAAACTGGAAGGGAGACATTGGAATTACTTCTAAATACTCACTTTCCAGGCTCCAGGTTATTAAATCATGGAGATGAATATGACTGGAATCACCAGCAGAGGGTAACGACCGGGTCTCGACAGAACTGGGAGGTTGCCAAGACGGTGGTGAGTCAGTCACGAATAAGATGGGCAATAAGTTCTTTTGACCCATTTAAATCACCAGGAGCCGATGGAATCCTACCTGTACTGCTACAGCAGGGGGTGGACTGTCTAGCTCCGGTCTTAATTCACGTCTTCAGAGCCAGCATTGCACTTGGTTATATACCGCTGGCATGGAGATCGACGAACGTGGCGTTTATTCCTAAACCAGGGCGTCCATCGTATGCCCAGGCAAAGGCATATCGCCCGATAAGTTTAACATCTTTCCTCCTGAAAACGTTGGAGAGAATAGTTGACAGGCATATAAGGGACGGGGTATTGAGGGCAAATCCTCTGCACAGGTACCAATATGCCTATCAGGCAGGCAGATCAGTCGACACAGCCCTTCATAGCCTAGTCTCTAGGATAGAGAGGGCAATGGACGACAAAGATCTAGCTTTGGCAGCTTTTTTAGATATTGAAGGGGCATTTGACAATACACCTTTCGAATCTATTAATTCGGCAGTTCGCAACAGGGGCCTTGAAGACACTTTGTGTCGTTGGATAGATACCATGTTGAGAAACCGGACAGTAACAGCTACCCTTTCGGGAGAGACATCCAGGTGTAAGGTAGGCCGGGGCTGCCCCCAGGGAGGCGTACTGTCTCCCTTGTTATGGGGATTAGTGGTGGACGGCGCACTGGAGGGCCTTAATCGAAAGGGGTTTTATACACAAGGCTATGCGGATGACTTGGTCGTTCTCATAGTCGGGAAACATAATATTATCGTTTCAGAACTCATGAAAGAGGCTTTGAAATGGATAGATGACTGGTGTAAGGGGCAGGCACTGTCAGTAAACCCTGACAAAACGGTCGTAGTACCCTTCACTAGGAGAAGAAATTTAACTGGACTCTCTGAACCTATAATAGGGGAGAGGGGCATTACATTTTCCAGGGAAGTAAAATATCTAGGAGTGATACTGGATAATAAGCTTACCTGGAATGCGCACTTGGAAAAAGTGGTGAGTAAGGCGAAGCAGACACTGTGTGTATGCCGCCGCCTTATTGGGAAAACCTGGGGACTGAAACCAAAGATGTCACACTGGTTGTATACGTCGATAGTAAGACCCAGGATTCTTTACGGCGCGGTGGTATGGTGGCAGAAAACACAACAGACCACAGCGAAGGAAAAACTGAATAGAATTCAGAGATTGGCCTGTTTAGGTATAACGGGGGCGATGGCATCGACCCCGACAGCTGCACTAGAAGTCATGCTAAATCTGCCACCGCTGCATATAGTGGTGGAGAGAGAAGCGCGGCTAGCAGCATATCGACTCAGGAATAATAATGACTGGAGGGGTGGTTCCCACTCCAGGATCAAAGATACATCTATGTCGGAACCAATTCTTGGGATGGTATCCGACAAGATGGTTCCAAAGTTTCACTTCCACAAGCCATTTGAGACTCGAATAGAGGATCAAAGCGAGTGGGAGGAAAGGTTTAATACCCTGGAAAGGTGGAGCCTAGTATGGTTTACAGATGGCTCCAAAATGACCAGAGGGACGGGTGCAGGAATATATGGACTCAGACCCAGATGGAGTGCAAGCTACAGTCTGGGGGAGTTCCCTACTGTATTCCAAGCAGAAATCTTCGCAATAATGGCGTGTCTGGCAGAGAATGTACGTAGAGGTTATAGACGTAAACTCATATATATATTCTCTGATAGTCAAGCTGCAATTAAAGCTTTAGCCGCACACAAGGTAAGTTCAAAACTGGTGTGGGACTGTTTACAAATGCTGACTGAACTGGCCACCAACAATACAGTCAGACTGTGTTGGGTGCCAGGGCACAAAGGCATTTGTGGAAATGAGAAAGCGGATGAACTTGCTAGGAAGGGATCCGAGACAGTGTTCATTGGCCCGGAGCCCTTCTGTGGCACATCTCCCAGTGTGGTCAGGCGGGCTCTGGGCAAATGGACAGAGACAGAACATAGGAAATACTGGACTTCAAGGCCAGGACATAGCCATTCCAAGGAGCTTATGGAGTATCCTTCGAATGGAAGAGCGAATGAGTTACTGAGCTTGAATAGAATCCGGCTCAGGAGAGTGACAGGACTCATAACGGGACACTGTCACTTTAGGAAACATCTACATAAGCTAAAGCTTGTAGACAGTCCGGTCTGCCGAGGATGTGAATCGGCGGATGAAACTTCTCTGCACATCCTGGGCGAGTGTCCGGGATTTGCACGTAGCAGAATGGCGCTCCTTGGGACACCCTATTTGGAACCCAAGGAACTGAGAGAAGTGTCAGCAGGGAAGCTTTTGGACTTTATAAAAAGGACAAATCTACTTGCTGAATAGGACTAGTAGTGGGACGCACAATAGGCCTAATTAGGCCGCAGTGCTATGGGACTTTTCAAAGGACCAACCACTAGATGATGATGAAGATGAAGAAGATTCGTAAAATTTACTGGTCTTTAGATAATTGGGAAATCAAATAAGAAGATACTGAAGTACGCTATTTATCATTTTCTATTGATTGCTAAATGTGTAACAATAAATTCAATACACAATATT